CATAGGGTCGCTATGAGTCGCAAGCGACTCAACGGCACATAACAACAACTCCATACATAAGATTGCTATGAGCTGAAATCAACACAATGGCATGCAATAAAACCACACTTCTTAAAACAACTGTGAGATATCATCTCACCCCAGTAAGAATAGCAAAAATTAACAGAACAGCAAACAACAAATACTGGTGAAGTTGCGGAGGAACTGGAACCCTTATTCACTATTGGTGAGAGTGTAAAATGGTGCAGCCTCAATGAAAAGCAGTATGGTGCTTTCTCAAAAAGTTGGACATAGAAATACCATTTGACCCGGCAATTCCACTGCTGGGAATATACTCTAAAGAAATCAGAACTGCCACCCAAGCAGATAGATGCTCACCCATGTTTATTGAGGCTTTGTTCACAATAGCAAAGAGTTGGAATCAACCCAAGTGCCCATCAATAAACGAACGGATAGAGAAGCTCAGGTATATTTCCACAATGGAATATTGTGCTGCATTGAAAAACAAGCAACTCATGCAATAGTACACAAAATGGGTGACCCTGGAGGACATTATGCTGAATGAAATATCTCAGTCACAAAAGGGCAAATACTGCATAATGCCACTGTTGTAAAGCAAAGCAGGACTGACATCGGAGTTGGGGGGAAAGTAAGAGGGGATAAGTAATATATACTGCATTGAAACAGATGAGGGAGAGCACTGTTTAAGAGGAATATATAATGAGGTATTATTGTCATGACATGTCCAGAATAAAACCTGCATAGTGGAGTGGACTGGGGATGGGATTGTATAACAATGAATTTTATTTTATTTTTTTTTACTTGTCAAAGAGAAAAGTGAACTGGGAGGAGTGGTGGGCAGGGAGGAAAAGTGTTCAACGATGAATGAAGGGAAATTTAAAACAATAAAATAAATTTCAGAGGCTGAAAAAACTCCAAATCCACACCACACTTCTTTGTATATGTTTACACATATTGGGGTTAGATAATGCAAATGGTTAAGCATTTAGCTACCAGCCATCAGGATGGTAGTTTGAACCCAACCAGAGGTTTCTTTTAAAATGGGCCTGTTGATCTGCTTCTGAAAAGTTTCAACCTTTAAAACCATGTAGAGCAGCATTCGCAGAGGTGCGCGGTTCAAATCCACCAGATGCTCTGCTGAAGAGGGAGGAACAATCGCCTCCTGTACCAGTCAGATCCAATTTGACGGTACACACATTCATTAAATAAATGAATGAATGAATGAATGAATGAATGAATGAATGACTCAACCAGCCATGTAGGGCAGTTGTACTCTGTACAAATGGGGTCACCATGAGTCAGATTTGACTAAAACATCCACATACATACAGCTGTATGTGTATAAAATTTGTTTTCTTTTTTTTTTTTTTAATTTGTTTTCTAAAATAGAATTATGGTGTAAGACTTTTTTGCAACCTGGTTTCCTCACTTATAAAATATCTTCCATGTCTTAATATTGGTGTCTTTCAATTTCTTTTTCTCTTGATAAATGTAGTCATCTGTTCTATAGATGTGCTGTAATTTTTTTTAACCATTTTATACAAGAACATTGCTGTTCTGGTATTTTTGAGTGCCGGAGTGTATTTCTCTGGGTTAGATTCACAGAAATCCAATAGTTGGATTAAAATGTTTGAATATGTTATGTTCTGATTGAGTATTGTTAAAATAATCTCCAAAATAGATTTTTAATATTTGATGATGATCTGTGTTTTATTGGCTATGCAAAGACTTTTCACTGTGTGGATCACAACAAATTATGGCTAACATTGAGAAGAACATGATTGTGCTCATGTGAGCCTAGACCAAAACACTGTTTTCCTAACAGAGCAAGGGAACACTACATGGTTTAAAATCAAGAAAGGTGTCCAGCAGGGCTGTATGTTTTCTCTAAACTGAATAAGATTGAATAAATCTGTATGCTGAACAAATCATAAAAGAAGCTGGACTTTATGTAGAAGAATGTGGCAATGAGGAGAACTCATTAACAACTTCTGTTATGCAGATAACACAACCCTGCTTGCTGAAAGTGAGAAGGACTTGAAATGGTTGCTGCAAAAGATCAGAGACTATAACTTTGAATAGGGATTATACTTTAACATCAAGGAAATGAAAATCTTCACCACTGAACCAATAGGCAAGATCATGATAGATGGAGAAGCCTGAAGTTGTCAGTGACTTCATTTTACTTGGATCCATAATTAGCACCCTTGGTACCAGCATTCAAGAAATCAAAATGCATATTGCATTGGCAAAGTCTGCTCTCAGGGACCTCTTCAAAGTGCTGAAGAGCAAGGATGTTAGTTTAAAGACTAAGGCATGCCTGATCCAAGCCAGATGTGATTAAGGAGAGACAGCAGAAGAACTGATGCCTTTGAGTTGTGGTGTTAAGAAGAGTACCAAATAACCCATGGACCATCAAAAGAACAGACAAGGATGGTGAAGCTTCATCTCCCGTACTTTGGGTATGCTTTTAAGAGGTGCCAGTCCTTGGATACAGACATCATACTTGGAAAGATAAGAGAGCGTAGAAGAAAACCTTTAATGAGATAGATTGATATGGTGACTATAACAATGAGCTCAAGTATATCAGAGGTGGTGAGGATGGCACAGGTTAGGGCCAGGTTCAGATCTATTGTTCATAGGGTTGCTATGAGTCACAGTCAACTCAACAGCCTGTAGCAGCAGTAGATAACTTTATTTTGCAAGCATGACTTTACTAAAAATTCTTTCCTCTTCCAGTAATTATGAAAGTTGAAACATCTGTTTCTTCCTTCTAGGCATGATAGACTTGGCTTACTGTGACATTCTGTACAGAGACTTGAAAAAGGGTCTTGAAGGACTTGTACTTGAGAACCTTCTTCATCTAGTCTACCTAACAACTCCTTATGATATGGTTCTCCAGTGTAACCCTGACTGGATGATATACTTCAGGCAGGTGAGGATACATTATAAGGAGATTCTTCAGTTTAGACAACTTAGCTTTTTTGGGGGGAGGGGTGTTTAAGGTAAAAGGTAAAAGTAGATATTTATTAAGAAAGGTAAATCCCAAAGGACAGGACAGACCTTTCTCTCAGGAAAGGAAGTAATGGAGTAGGCCACTACCTAGTTTATTAATGATGATATCTTTTTTTTTAAGTGGTCACTTTCTGTTTTGGTTTCCTTTTCTCACTGATCAAAGATATGTGGACTTTTCTGTATTAAAAAAAAAAAGTATTGAAACCACAGCCTTTTGTTTTATTTTCTTTTAAATATTGCTGTTCTTTAAAATGTCATCATACTCAATACATAAACAATTTTTAAAAGATATAGAAAATTAAAAGGAAAAGGTTATCCTCCCCATTCTCCCTACACCTACTATTATGGTTTGGCAGCAGCCGTATTCTATAACCCGGCAGCCCCATAGCCTGGTGTGTAAGGTGTTGTGCTGCTGACACAATGGCTGTGTCTCTGGCAGTTCACATCCGTGAGAGGCTCCACAGAAGAAAGATGGGCCCTCTCCTCTCGTGTGATTCATGGCCTCAAAAACCAGGTTGGGGCAGCTATGAGTCAGTTCCAACTTGAAGGCATTGAGTATGAGTATTGTATGAAGTCTAGAATGTAAGTAATGAAAGTTGTCTCTGATGATCAAGACAGTGCCAAGCATGATGATACACAAAATCTAGTAATCTTAAATATCTAAGAAGGGATATTTATTTTATAATCAGTAGCAAAATGAAATTTGTTTTACATGCAGAGAACCAAAACTAGAGTAGACTTTATTATGATTTTACTCTGAATATGGTAAAGGCATGATTTTGTTAGAGACAATATAAAACTTTTAATTCCTACAAATATATTGACTTCATAAATAATTATAAAATAGCTTTTAAGAGGAGCTCTGGTGGCACAATAGATAAAGAATTCCGTGGTTGATGAAAAGGTTGGCAGTTTGAACCCACTACCTACTCTGTCTACAGTGTGGAGAGCTCTGGTGGCCTAGTGGTAAGGAGTTGCACTGCCAACCCAAAGGCATGTGATTCGAATCCACTAGCTGTTCTGAGGGAGAAAGAGTAATACTCTCTTCCCACATGATATCCTGTCTCTGAAAATCCCCTAGGTTCAGCTTTGAGTTGATTCTGACTCGAAGGTACATAACAACAACAGCAGCTGCTCTTCTCAATGCAGCTCTGATGACCTAGTGGGTAAGGAGTTGTGTTGCCAAGCCAAAGGCAAAAGGTTGAAATCTGCCAGCTGCTCCAGAAAAAAATTGGGCAGTCTTGTCCTGTAGGATTTACAGCCTCTGAAAACCTCCTGGAGAGCAGCTATGCATAGGTTTCAGCTAGATGGCAATAAGTTTGAGGGGTTTTTGGACATTGATAACCTTGGAAACCCTATGGGTAGTTGAATTCTTTCCCACAGAGTCACTCTGAGTCACAAACAATTCAAAGGCAGGGAGCTTTGTTTTCTATAATACTAAATACTATTTCTGTCAGCACTTCTGTCTTCTCCCTTCTGCTAGCTATCACTGTAGTAAACATAACCCCAGACTCTCCGGAAACAAGTACTCCTCGCCATTTCTTTAAGTAATTCTCCTAGGGTATGTTACATTTTAAAAATGTATTTTTTCATGCTTCCCATATTTGTAAATATGTTTTTATACAGAGCCTTTAAATAGTTTATATATCATAAGAAATGTTCTTTTATTCCATTGCTAGAATTTTTTAAGTTATAATTTTATTTTCCAATGGTTTTTTTGAGGGTTTTTTGCTTTTTTCCATGTAGTTCGGCCAACTCAGTCCAGCAGAACAAAAAGTAGCTGCTCTTGTTGGAGTATCTGAAAGCTTCATTGGGAAGAAAGCATCAGGTCAAGCAATCAAGAAGGTAATCTTTGGTTTTCCTTCCTAAATAGTAAAGTAAGGCCATTCAGCAAAATTAAGGCATTATGTCATCTCTTTGTTGGGCTAATCTTTTTTTTTTTTCATAGAGCATGTATTTTATTAAAATTTATACTAAGATATTCTTATATTAAAACGGTAATTTAACAGAAGAACTTCCCATTTGATATTTGTATCATCCGATAACATTTGAAAAATCTCCACTGACCAACAACAGTAAAAAATTTCTTTTCTTACTGATGGACATTTAAGTGGACCTAATTTGCTTTTCTTTTTCTTTTTTAAATTTTATTTTTGTGTGCTTACTGTCAAATGGGATCAGAGGAGATTGTCCCTCCTCCTCCAGCAGAGCATCCAATGGATTTGAACTGCGTGCCTCTGGGATTGCAGTGCAGCTTCTTGCCACTAGGCCACCAGAGCTCCCTTGGTTTTCTTTTTTTAAAAAAAATCAGACAAAAGTAGATTAAAGGCTAATGAAAATTAAGTTAGCTACATCTGCGGAAAAAACCGCTGGAGAAGCTCAGTATCAGCTGTGAAAACTAGGCCAGGAGCTGATTGTGGAACAGACCACCTACTACTCATATGCAAGTTCAAGCTGAAACTGAGGAAAATTAAACCAAATCCACAGGAGCCAAAATATGACTTTGATTTCATCTCACCTGAATTTCTGAATCAACTCAGGAACAGGTTTG